AAAAACCTTCTCCAATTTATTAATTTTAATTACTAGTAATTAAATTTTTTGCACGGCGTACAAGCAAATTAAAGCGAAAAAAAAATCGAAAAAAAAACTTTTATCTAGTTGCAACAAGTTGTCTCACTATGAACCATACTCCCTTACCAGGGGTGAGAGACAGAACCACGCGCCACGAGGCAAAACAAAACTACATTAGGGAGGCAATGGACTTGCAAAATGTATTGTACTATACTTATGCCGGTTGTGTAAACAACCTATCAGCCGGTGCAGCTAGGTATTCCGTTAGCTGCTGCTACGCTGCGGCTATTGACGGAGATGATTCGATGATGATGGTGATGATTTGATGATGATCGATCACTGGGGTAAAGGTGAACAGTCTATACGTAAGACTCAGCTTACGATAGCTGCTTCCGAAAACCGTGCGCGATTCACCTGAACACTTTTTTTCAACAACGATAGCGATGGAAACGCGGTAAAAAACGAGTGTCGTATGAAGAGACCAGGACGCTGTTAACTGGCTCACCGCTCGATACGGAATGATGATTTGAATGTTAAGCAAACAAAAATGGTTTACAAGGGTCAAACAAAATCATCGAATTTCACACCAAAATGCATCTTTTCTTCAGCAATTTCATCCGTTTCAAATGCACTGATCACTAATACGGGTGATTAACTAAGCATTTTCAGTAAATCAGCCGAAAACACATGAAAATAAGCTAAACAATTCCATGCGAAAAACAACGCGACCAGCTTCTATCCAGTGATGTCAGACCTCAATTTAAGGAATTATGTGGTATTTTGGGGAAAAATCATTTAAAATTTGTATTTTATTCAATTTTAAAGATTTCGCATATTCCACGAATTTGATGTTTATATATTTTGCTGATATTCAATCCACTATAAAATTTCAGGCAATACTGCTCATTTAGCCCGGTACTTTATACATTACGTAATTTCGGGCTATAACACATAGCTATCGTTTTACGAAAAAATAATGTTTTTTTCAAAAAATGGTAAAAATTGGGCGAAATGGCTCAAAACACACATTTCTAAGGCTCTGCGGCATTTGCAATCGTGCAATCGATACCCTAGACTTTTTCTCTTCGGAAAAGTAAGTGATTATGGCTGGAACTGCAGCGTCCTTTTGAGATATTGAATTTTGGGTAATTTTTGATAGATTAAGGTGAAAGTTAATGCTTTTCCGTTGATGCTGAATCCACACCCGTTCAAACCACACCCAAATTCGAAATGCCTCAATACCAAAAAGCATTGCAAATTAGAAAACTTCAATTCTAAGATTCCAAGTTCAAGGTAGTCCAACTAATGCTCAGAGAAGTCTTGCCGTAGTTCAGGGAAGGCCTGCCGAACTTCAGCGAAGTCCTGATGAAGCTCAGGGAAGCCCTGCCGAAAGTCCTGCCGAAGATCAGCAAAGTTCAGGGAAGCCTTGCCGAAGTTCAGGGAAGTCTTGCTGAAGTTCAGGGAAGTTCTGCGGAAATTCAGAGAAGTTCTGTTCAAGTTCAGGAAAGTTCTGCTGATGTTCAGGGAAGTTTTTCCGAACTATAGGGAAGTCCTACCAATGTTCAGAGAACTCCTGCCGAAGTTCAGAGAAGTTCTACCGAAGTTCAGGGAAGTCCTTTCATTTCAATTCTCGGAAATCAGGGAAGTCCTGATGAAAGTCAGGGAACTCATGCCGAAGTTCAGGGAAGGCCTGCCGAACCTCAGGGAAGTTCTGCGGTAGTTCAGGGAAGGCCTGTCAAAGCTCAGGGAACTCCTGCTGAAGTTCAGCGAAGTCCTGCCAAAGTTCAAAGAAGTTCTGCCGAAGCTCAGGGAAGTGCTGCCGAAGTTCGTGGAATTATCTAATTATCTTTTAAAATACCAAGATATAATACCTTCATCAAATGGCTGAAATTTTTGCAGAATATCCTCAAATACTTGCGATGCAACTTGATAAATTTGAAGATCAAATTGGTTTAAAAAATATTTTATTGATCAATGGCAAAGGTGGTTGATTTCTACAATATTTGGATGTAGAAGTATTTTCACATAAGTCACTTTTTAAAAAAAGATTCACTTAGTCCTAGAGGACAGCTTTATTCGCGAAGTTCACTGTTACACGATTGAACTAAGACTGCAATTCCCTGACTGCCTACTGAACCTCGTAAGGTCCTAACTAGAATGTGCTATCTAAGCAAGACGACAAAAAATATTATTTCCAAATCTGGCACGTATATAGTTTTGAAATTTGTTCAACTGTATTAAATCGATTTGAATGAACATTTCTTACCAATTTTTTTTCGAATACCTCTTGATTCATCTGCTGGCAGCACTTACTGGCCCTTACCGGCGATCAACTCGTCTGCCCGCAAAAGCAACAACGCCTAAATCTCAAAGCTCTCCGGACGTCCCCTCGAAAATTCAATCGAGATATGTATAAGAACAATCTTCAACTGGAACGTACTCACCAAATCAATACATCCGGGAGCACATTTCCGATGCTTATTTTTCTCTCGCATGCCCGTCGTCGTCGAACGGCAAAACAAAAGGAACTCGGTGAGCAATTTTGTGGTACGGAATTTTCACTGAACATAAACCGCGAATTTACGAATTTCACCACTCCCAACCGCGAAACACGTTCAGAAGCACTTTTGGTACACTTTCGATCAATTTCTTTCGAAAACACAAAAAAAAAGTTGCAAGTGAGCCAACATCAACACCCGAGTCAACACCGATTGTGCCGAACTCTTTCACGCACCTTGCAGCGCGTAAATAAACTGAAATTAAAAAAATTCACTCGCGATGCCACTAATTTCTGGTCCGGGAGAAAATCAAATAACGCAGATTGCGACATCTCTTCTGATGCTTGCAAACATGTTGAATCACGTTTTCTTTCTCTATTCTAAAACTTCCCGGAAAGCGAGAAAACTACCAATCACACACGTATAAACGTCCGGGAGGCAGAGCGCCAGCGCTAATCCGGCAAATGCAGCCGAAAACTATGAACGCGAACGCACGCACAAAACAGAGAACACAACCGTATCCAAAGGCGTTCGAAACTGCACTCATCTTTAAAAATATCCAGATATATCAGAAAAACTCCATCAAATAGGCTCTAACATTCACAGAGTATCCTTAAATTAGCTTACACATACACACACACTTGAATAGTTTTTATTATTTCACAAATACACGCGTTTTCAACACGACTCTCAATTTAGAAATATTTTTACTATTTATTTTCAAGCACTTTCATAATGGAGTTCTTACGATAACGCATAGATGACATTGCCGAATAACATCCGTTTTAAACTATCGATAATTTTCGCAATATATTTCCAATTGAAATACCAATAGTTATCTTACAGTATACATCAATTATTGCGAATGAAAAGCGTCACGCTCGAGCTTGATCCTGCTGACGGTGCTGATGGTTTTTCTTGCTAATTCATTCATGGATCCTAACAATATTTTGAAACGATCTACGGGAGTGAAATATGACCTTTCATCCGAAATACTTGTGTAATTAACGAGCAAAGTTAGCGACCACTATGATTGTGGTCCTAAAATTGAACTTAGAAAATGGTTTACAGAAAATTTAAACAATGAATCAATCTTGTAACATTTGCAAGAGATGTCAATTTTAGTTCTTTAATTTTGCACTGAAGTGTTTTTTCGATTGCGCGCTGCGTTATTTTGTTAAAAAAAATCGATGAAGTGAGTCATTCTAAGCCGATCCACTTTCACCTTAAAAACACAGGGTATTTATTATTTGTCTGATAGGGGAAATGGATGTAATGTCAGCCTAAATGTCCCTAATTTGGGCCCATACATAAATTCAGCAATCGACTAAATTTTCAAAAGCGACCAAAAATATCCATGAATACCGTCCTAATGACGTGTTAATCTACACAACATTTATAAATAGCAGATTTTTAGCGATGGGCCAAATCTTAGATCCAAAGGCCAACATTAGAGCCATTTCCCCTACCTAGATATTTAAAATTACCTCAAACTCGAGATTTTGCATTTGTTTTTTTTTGGGAATTTGACGTTATTTCGAAGTCCGTGATCTTAAAAACTCGTCATGGATTTAGAATTTGTTTTTAAGTTCTAAGGTATTTTTATATTTTGAAAGGCAGATCTTCGAAATTAATATCAGGTTTCTGATTTATAAAAATGCTTCAAAGACTAATACAAGTATTACTTTCATTTAATACCCGACATCACTCAAATAGGTCAAACATGGGGCAAAACATAAATGACAAGGGAAAAACAAAAATTAAGTATTGTATTAATTGATTAATAATGAACTTTTCATTAATAAAAATAAAAATAATTTGTGTTAGGAAAAAGCGCAGAGAGAATGGCAATGTTGAATAGGGCTTAATTGTTGATGCCCCTTGAATATTTTGTGATTTTTTGGGACATAAAATAAAAATTAAATTTGCATCAGCTAAGCTAAGAGTATGTAGGACCAGAGTATGTAAAACTGACGGGTTTTTTTTTAAACTGATTGAAGAACATCCTCGAGAGCCCGGTAAGGCGTACTGGAAGGAGATGTTATCATTTTATTTTTTTCGCTATTCACACACAAGACCAGAAGCAAGTGGCTGAGGCAGCAAGAGGGAAAAAAATGCTCGCTCCTTGAGCCGCTTTCATATCAGATATTGCTTGTCACACTTTTGAAGAGCGCTCTTCTTTTGTGCCGTAGCCACAGTGTGCTTTTACGTACCACCTCTATAGAGTACACATGGATGAATGGAGGGGGAAAGCTTGAGAGCATACTGAACTGAACAGAACGTCCTGGTAATATGAATGCAAACAGGCAGGCAGCCACTCTAGCCAGCCAGCCATCCATCCATCTATCCATTCAAGGGGTGTGAAAATCGCTTACGTTGAGTGCTGTTATTGTTTTGCCAGAAATCAGACCGAACAGCTCTTGCGAGCGAAAAACTGCATTATTCTAATGTTTGTGTTTTCTGTCCCTATCTCTTCCCTAGCTCCACCACCCGAAGCAGCTGCACTATCCGAGTGGCTATCCGATGCCACGGTCGCCACCGCTATTCATTTGCTCATCGCCCGGTCCGGACCCGTACCGATCGCATGACAATGTGTACGAAGAGCTGGAGCATCCCCGCGACACGGACTCGGAGCCACCGGTGCAGTCCGATGACGACTTTGCTGAAGACGAGCTGAGCCTACCCGGTGACCGGTCGTTTCATAAATCATCTTCGGACGGTGGAACGACGGTGGCCACAATCTATCACGACCGTAGCGCCAGCAGCAACGGGGGAACAAACAGCGGCAGCAATACCGACCAGTACATGGAGCGGAACAGGACCGAGCGTAATTCGCTGCTCTCGTCATCGTCATCCGGAAATGACAATAACCTGAGGCAGGGTGCGGCAGCTGGCACTAGCAATGGTGGTGCCGGCGGTGCTAGTGGCGTCAGCAACAATAGAAACTCCAACTCCAGCAGTGAGTGTACTAGCAGTGCAAGTGGGAACAACAACAATCCTAATGGCTGCAGCAGTGGTGGCAGCAGCAGCAACAACAATAATAGCAATAGTAGTGGAACCAATAACAATAGCACCGGTGGTGGACTGTTTCGTTCTAGAAAGCAGCAACCATCGACACTCGGAAGTGGTAGGGGCAACAAGCACGTGAACAATCTCAACTCGTTGGGTGAGCCTCCCTGTGAGGTGACTCACACACTGCCGGCGGGATACGACGAACGAGCCATGATGACACTGCCCCCGTCCTACCAGGCGGCGGCAGCGGCAGTAGCCAGTACGGCTAGAACCAGTCCTAATAATTTGAATAGTATCAACAATAATAGCTTTGTGAATAGCAATAGTTTGAACAACAACAATAGCAGTCGAGGCAATTACTATAGTACAATAGACGACGACTGCGATCCGGTCGAGCGACGGAACCGAATCAACGCCCAACTGTCTGCATCGGCTGTGGCAATCAACAATGGAGGCCCAGGAGTGTCCACCATTTTCCGCAATGGCCGACCACCCCACCCCAACAACAACATCAACCACAATCATCACACAACGAATGCGAGCAGTCGATCGCGAACGAATCCCCGGTCGCTGGATCGACGGCGCTTTCTGATCAATAACATCAACAACAACACCACCGCCGGCAACAATCTGGCGGTTATATCCACGCAAGATCCCTCCCAGTACATCTACCACGAACCGGTTTTTCACGAGGGACTCATATACGATGCCTGCCTGTCGTACAGTGATCGAAGTAGTGGAAGCAGTGCCGGCCCTCCGTATCCCTACATCCTGCCGCAGTTTACCACCTTTCGGAATCACCACGGTTCCGGACCGGGCCACGGGCACGCCATCTACTCGCGGGACAGCAGTTTTGGGTCCGATTCGGGCTACAGTCAGCACACGCAGGCATCGAACCGTAGCGTAGGCTGGAGCAGGAATCGACCTCCACAACCAATGCCACAACAGCAACAGCAGCAGCAGCTCCAAACTGAACAACCCCAACCGGCCGTGACGGATTCTTGAGAAAAAGTTTCCCCCCCGGCAGCGACTCTCATTTCGCAGCTCGTGTACGGCAAGGTTTTCATCTGAGGTGTTGAGATCCGGGACTCAAGTAAAATCTCCCGGATAAGTAAGGTCTTAAGAAGTAGGTTTAGTCGAAATGAAATGTGATTTTAATTTTAAACGAAAACTTAAGAAACCACTTACCCCTTTCCCGTGTAAACAAACTGAACTCGTTTTTAGGTTATATACTTGAGCGTCGACAGTTCGACTGAAGCACACCAACACACACACAGGCATGCCCCCAAGGAAAAAGACTGTTTAACTAAGCTAGGTTTTACTTCAAACTTCTTCTCCCGGTATAATACGCGGAAATAAGAACCGATCGAGCTACCAACGCAGATTTTACAGTACCATAATTTTTAAGATACATCTTCTTCATAGAGTAACTGAAAAGAGCCCCTCCCCCCTTCTCCCCAAGTACTCTCTTCACGAATACAGTAATGAGTAAATTATATATGAACCATATTAGCAAAAGCCAGATGAATTTTAACGCAAAACAATCGAAGCTAAACTAGTACTTAATAGGCGATCGCAAATCATGTTCAAATGCAAAAAGGGAAATCCATACTCTAGTGGTTGTAATTAATCCTTAAACGAAAACAAACATAAAATCCTGAATTGTAAAGCAGAAAGAGCAGAAGAAGAAGAAGATCAACATTTCTCCAAGTCCACCGGTGGTGGCGCCTACTACAACTGTTATAGGTAAGAAAGTGCAACTGAAGTCTTTGACAGCTCCCGCGAGATGTCGCCGTTGCTTGCGTGGCCCACGGCTCTCTCGATCTCCGTCGCCCAGTCTCGGATCATTATTTGTGGTTCCTCATCAGCATTGTTTTACGATAACGACGACGACGATGACGATGTTGACGATACACGCAGGGAAATGAGTATAAGAAAACCAAAATTCAAACATTATGTAAACTCAAAAATAAAGCAAAACAAACTTTCATACGTCACTTATGCGTTGCATATAAGACATCTCAGTTTTCATTATTTGGACATAAACCATTCATGCACCACATGTTTGAATTTCATTATGCGCATTATGAAAGTTAGAAGAGTGTTTATTTGAAAAAAATCATAAGGAACGTTATAATATTTAGAGCCAAAACTCAAGATGGAAGTGGCTATTGAAGACGGTACTGGACGCATACAAGTCGAAGCTATGTCAAATTTTTTTGTAGTGAGAATTATTCGAAAAGTCACCATTAATAAGGCAGGGGTCAACAGACTCATTAGTGAGGACGCCGTCTTTTCATGTAATTAAGAATTCTACTGTGGATCCAATGCATGATTTATTCAGCAATGGATTCTGTAAATACAGTTTTTCGGCATCTCTCACTGATGTATAAATTCTGAAATAATGCATTTCAATTTTCATTCGCTTGGTGTCACAATTCATAATGTAGTGAATTGAAAGTGTATGCTTCAATTTTCAAAATTCTTAATGCGTAATTATGAACTAAACTATGCATTATGATGATTTCATTACCAAATCCTTAAGAAATTCCTACGAATTGATTTTCCCAATAAATTTGATTTCATAATGTATCGTATTGAACATCATGAGAATTGCTTGTGGCTAAATTTCAAAAGGTATTTTAATGAATATCTTATGTGCATTTACCTAATTCCTCGAAATTCTTTAAAAGTTATTGTAATTTTCCTGAAGTTCCTGGAGTTCTCTGGTGATCCTCGAAGCGCTCGGTATTTTCCTGATTATAATGAGACTACCGGAATATCTCTAATCATCTTTGAAGGTCTCTGGACTTTCTTGAAGATTACGAAATCTCTTAAATGCTCTCACAATTTTGTAGAATTTATTGTAAAATCAGAATTGAAGTTCTCTGATATCCCCGATAATTTTTAAAAGTTACCGACACTGCCATTAAAAGCATAGAACTTCCCATAAAATGTTCTCACAATGTTCTAATGTTCATGTAACTTCCTTTACGTTTCCTCAATTTGCATGAGCCCCTCAGGACATTGCTGAAGTTTTGATCTGTCCTGATGTTCTCTGAGCTTCACTAAAGTTCCTGAAAACCATTCAATTTCCCTGAAGTTCATTGGACTTGTGAAGTTCCCAAAATATTTATGATGTTCCTTAAGTTCACTGAAGTTCACTGGATTTTTAACAGAAGCTAATGAAACTGTCTTAAATTTATCGAAACTTACACAAAAGTCTGGACTTTTCTGAAGTTTCAGAACTTCTTAAATGTTCCTGCAGCTAGTGTGGATCCGCAATAAAAATCTGATAGCATTCTTGAAGTTCCGGGAAAGGTGAACAAACTGGCGAGAGAAGATAAAAGAATCATTCGAGCGAAGGTTGAAGAAGCCTCCAAGGTAAGGTGGAGGAAAATTCCATTGGATGAAAGTTCAGGAAGTTTAAAAATGCGTTAAAACTTTCGGAAGTTAAATAATGTTTAAAAAATATTTCTCGATTACCTAGGAATTACCAGGAAGAGCCATCCACTATTTCTCGATTGCAAACATTAGTCGCAAGAGTATCAAGCATAAAGATCATTGTTTAGAATTTTGAAAACTTAAAAAAAAATGAGGTATTCAAAAAGATACAAATCTTTCACAAATTTTTTTTCCAAAATTCGAGTGTGGGTAGGCAATAATAATTTTGATTATTTAAAAAAAAAATCGGTATGATTCGGTATAACATATCAAAAATCGGTATTCTGGGGAACCTTATCTGTATATCTGTATCTAGCTCGGAAATGCCGATAAATCGGTATATCTGGCAACGCTGATACCTACACTGGCCGAAAACATCCGCAATACCACGAATAATTATTGCATTGCTCCAGCCCATTAACAATATGCAGGGTGTCCATCCAACCGGGAAAACTTTCACTGCGGTAAAGTATCAAAAATCCTCAAAATTACAACAACTCTATACTTTTTCTTTACTCGCAATCTGTTCGCGCACGAGGAAAACGACGATTTCGCCGTTTTTCCGACCACGATAGCTAACAGAGTAAATTTTAAGGATTTATTTTGGTGTCATTGGAAGAAAAGTGTTTGAATTATTTTGCTACGATTTTCCTAGTGCAGTAGTTCTAGTATCAAGCCTGAGCGAGACATATCTTGTTACGAAGCTACACCGGACACAATCAACGAACTAAAAATAAAAAAAAAAAACATCTGTAAAACATTACATAAAACATAAAGCCTGTGGTTAGTCTGTAAAACATAAAGATCTTCACAAAGGTTTACTCATTCTATCATTAAGTCAAATCATCGTATGCCTTGTTGAGCCTGCAGAACTTCAAGATAAGATATCCGGGATGATTGGAATAGTGCAACAATGTTATTTTTAAACACAATTACACATTTAAAATTATGTTATGAATCTCCGTGACTCACAAAATGCTCAACAATTCTGAGTGGACATCAAACAAGATTTCGATTAGCCTGTAAAATATCTTCAGAATTTTTTTATGTGTGATAAGTATTTTGGTAACATATATTTGTATTCTTCAAAATGTTGCATGGCTTATAGAATTTCAAGATCTAAACTCCAGCAAGGTTTGAATAACTTGAATAACTAGATCCAGTGTTGGGAAAATATCAAAAAATTAAATCTCACCAACGCCCAAGATCACGCTTGATTTTCGTAGACAAAAATCAACAAGCAAACAACTGCGGTTGATTTGGCAAGCTGTGATATCGCAGCTCGGAATATCAAGCTAACAAAACTCACCAACTGTAAATCTCACCAAACTGTGGTGAGATTGAGTTTAATGATTTTTGCTTTACACCCAAATGCAACCGAAACTTCCATAATGGCTTGAAGTGCAGCAGTCCTTTTGCGTCTGCCATCGGTGAAGATTAAAAAGAGATAGGAAACTATGCTTTCTGAAAGCGATGTGCAATGGAATCATTTCTGTTTTGATTCAACTCTCAGCTTGATTTTTGCACGTTGTGAATAGTCTCGCAATATCAAAGGAGCTTGTAAAATCAATATCATGCATGATATTTTGTTCCAATATCACGCGTGATATTGAGAGCGCATAAGAGCGGAAAAATATCAATTGATTTCTGATTTGCCAAACTGGTAAGAAATTTGAGAAACCACGAATGTTGCGCGATTAACAGACCTGTGCTTTCTGCACTATTCTCTCCATGTTTCGAAACAAGGATAGGCTAAAAGCGAATGAGAAGCGCTTGTTTCCTCTCCTACTCAATTTCGCATGCTTTTTGCGCTGACGGGGAATTGTAGAGAATCGTGGTAAGTGTGTGCGTCGTTCTACAATAGTCGAAATTGTAGATAGAACACGAAATAAAACGATGAAACATCATAACATCATCTGCAAGGTCAATTTTTAACATTCGCTGTGGTATTGGCTGCGGAGGATGATAGGAAATGCAACTAACATTCAATGTAATACATGTTTTATTTGTATGTGGGACAAAATGACTTAGTGTGGTTTTTCACTGGCTTCCATTTATAATCATAGTAACTCTAAGACCAGAAGGTCCCTCAGAACCGTGTTCAACTTTTTGGCTCAGCTCTGGTACTCTCTTCGGTCCCAAGCTAATCGATGCACCCCTCGAAACATAAGAAAATCCACGAACCCCTCATTTTATCTGTCAAACTTTCATAGCGAATCAAAACAAACATAGCGTAGTACTAGAATTTTGACTAGAATGGGGTACGTTAATCGATTTGCTTGGAACCAATAGGCTAGTCAAGTAGTGAGCCAATTTAAAATCGTTAGTTTCCACCGGTTGGTATAAGGGTCCTAGCAAACTTAAGCTCGGACTGTAGACGTAAAAACTATCTAGGAACGAAACCACATCATCATCAAAGAGTAGACAATTTTAAATTTTTTAGTGAGGTCACGCTCTGAGAGGGCCGATTTAAAATAAAGGTCGTACCATAGCTCGCAGCCCGGGAAACGACGAGAAACTCCTAGAACTGAAATCATTTCGCGCTGTAATCTCCATCGTACGCTGTTGGAATCCCCGCCGCAATGTTCGTCGGGAATTATACTCGAGAGCGGTTGGAATACCCATCTGGAACCGCTTATACATCCCGAATCGCAGTCGGGAGCGTGTGAAATTTTCGTCAGATATGCCTGGCATCTTCTTCGGAAACTTTTCCCACTGTTGGCAAGATCTGTACGGTAAGAAAAAAGTACCCAACGGTGCACTTTAACCTACCTTTGACTAATTTGTCTCCTTTCCTTCTTCTAATGTTGTCAAAAACGGAGGAGTAAAAATCACCCAACAGGTGTAGTAAAGTGTGGAAACCAAACATTGGGTATAATCATATTTGCCTACTTTTGGGTACAACTAACTTATCCTTGGGTAAAAACACACAAGTAAATGGAAACTACTTTGACCCACTTTACCTACTTTTGGGTTCCTGTACTATAGTGCCGATGTAAGTGAGCATTGGTCTTCCGGAATCGTCTTGTATATTGTCAAATTTAACGTATGTTTCATCGTCCATGATAACACACTACAGGCTATCATATAGCTTCCGAGCCCTCGGTTTGACTGATGTAGCTTGTTTCTGGCTCCGTTTCGGCTTCTTCTGCTTCTTGAACGTTTTAACCCCGTTGATTGCCTTAGCACGTTAAACGTTACTCTTCGATGTTCTCAGTTTTTTGGCAAAATCTCGAACAGAGGCACTTTTCTTACTGACGAAAGCATGGTGATCTCCCGGTCCAGTTTTCGGTCCACCGGTTCCAGTTTAGGGCCACATTTCGATGTGCCCTCCCAGGTAACTTCTTCAACAAACTCCCATACTTACTTCGTTCATATTCGCAAACTTCCTTACTGATAGGTTGGGAATGGTGTACC